CAGAATTTATTAACTGAATTAAATATTAATATAATTCAGTTACGATGGTTTACAAAGTACACCGCATTTAAATATTAGCTTCAGTACTAACTTGTAAAGGTAAGGTTAAACGCACGTGGCCATATATATTTTTATATCGGTCAACTCCCGAACTCCAGCCAGCAAATTCAGGGATAACAATTTTAATATACTGCTACATTAATAGAAATTAAGGGTACACTTACAGAAGTTTCACAATTAGAAAAAGAGTGCCAACTTACCCCTCAGATCAGTCAGAAATCACTACAGTAATCCAGAACGAATTAATATAGAACTACACTCGCTAATCTGGATACTGCACTTGAAAAACTAACGACCTCCGCTCTCAACACAGTGGGAAATCAAATGGTCGAAACATGGCCGCTTCCGCTCAAGATGGACGACCCACGTGACGCCAGCCGTGCGCATGCGCCAAAAAGAGTTAGCGCCATCTGTTACCTTCTATTGATTGGTCGCAAAACTAGTATTACATGATTTGGATGTAACTAGTCCAATCTGGTTTTTAGCGGAAGTATTAGGGAAAATCGGGTCCTCTAAACTAATGTTATATATATATCTAGCTTCTGCCCTAAACTATAAGGTAACTAGGGGAGCGTCAGTGGTCATAGTCAGTACTGTCACAAGATAATACAGAATATATTCGCAGAATCAAAGAAATTATATAATTCTTGTATTAAAAAAGAAACCGATTTTAAAATATATCAAAACAGAATTCCATTTGTTAAAGGCTAAAAGGTTAAAGTCGAGAGGATCGACTTTATTACACCGGGTTTTATTCCATGAGGCTCGGTGTCTCTCTCTGCAGAACGGTTAGCCGCCAGCCGAAAGCACCTCACAGAGCACGAACTTCGTAGTTCTGACGACGACCCATATGGATCCCCGTAAACACTGTGCTCATGAACAAAATGACGCAGTCGTGAGCCGAACCAACGACCTTTAAAGCCCGTAGCATTTGTAAAGAAAATGAATATTTTGAGGCCCCTGAGATTATGAGGCACTTGGTTGCATCTAGTTTAGCTTATACATAAATCCAACACTGGGTGGAACGAATTTATTGTATTTATTCAGAGCGTGAGGTCAGCGGCGTCACCACTTAGCGACGGATATCCCTAGATGGTTAGTTAGTTAGTTAGTTAGTTAGTTAGTTAGTTAGTTAGTTAGTTAGTTAGTTAGTTAGTTAGTTAGTTAGCTAGCTAGTTAGTTAGTTAGTTAGTTAGTTAGTTAGTTAGTTAGTTAGTTAGTTAGTTAGTTAGTTAGTTAGTTAGTTAGTTAGTTAGTTAGTTAGTTAGTTGGTTGGTTGGTTGGTTGGTTAGTTAGTTAGTTAGTTAGTTAGTTAGTTAGTTAGTTAGTTAGTTAGTTAGCTAGTTAGCTAGTTAGTTAGTTAGTTAGTTAGTTAGTTAGTTAGTTAGTTAGTTAGTTAGTTAGTTAGTTAGTTAGTTAGTTAGTTAGTTAGTTAGTTAGTTAGTTAGTTAGTTAGTTAGTTAGTTAGTTAGTTAGTTAGTTAGTTAGTTAGTTAGTTAGTTAGTTAGTTAGTTAGTTAGGTTATCATCATTGCACTCCAGACATGCCCATAGGTGCTCAGATCCTCCCCTCAGTATGAACCCAAACATCCAATGGGTAATAATACCAGTTCTATGTTGATTTCCAAGTCTTCTGGCGTGTCTGGTGTGCGTCTCGTTTTTTGCTATGCCGATCTTAATTCCCTAGATGGTCTTAACCTTCAGATTTGTATATATCCGCAGACGAGTCTTTCCCTCCGATGATGTACATACTGAATCAGAACGTGACGTGTGGCAAGCACAACCCAGGGAAGTTTGTGGCGCCAACTTACACCTGCGCTGATTTAAAGTAAGTTACATAACACCATATCATTATAATTTATATTGTAACAGTACTACAGTATCATAAAAAAGTTACATAACACCATATCATTATAATTTATTTTGTAACAGTACTACAGTATCATTAAAAAAGTTACATAACACCATATCATTATAATTTATATTGTAACAATACTACAGTATCATTAATAAAAAGTTACATAACACCATATCATTATAATTTATATTGTAACAATACTACAGTATCATTAAAAAAAGTTACATAACACCATATCATTATAATTTATATTGTAACAATACTACAGTATCATTAAAAAAAGTTACATAACACCATATCATTATAATTTATATTGTAACAATACTACAGTATCATTTCTTTAAAACGAAAAGTGTACCAATCAGCCCCCCATTATCACAAACACAAACCTTAAGTGGTTTTTGCAACTATAGAGCCTTCATTAGTTAGGTTAGTTGCGTATCCTTTACAAAACGTTGCAGAACAAACCCCAACAGCCCCTGGCTGTTGTGTAGTTTTTCTAGGCAATTTACGCCCAGTAGTTTGTCATTGCTCCTGGACGGTCGGCTTGCTTGATACCACTGTCGAAACCAACGCTAGGCGCATGGCTTGCAGCGGGGATCAGACCCGGCATCCCGGCATTACGAAGCGTTCGCATCGACTTAGACACAGAGCCGACGCCTTCATTAGTACATTACATAAATACGCGACACCACAGACACAACGAAGAATATAGAAGATCACTTAACTGTCCCTGTCCTTTTAGGAAACAAAAATCAAACACTTTACCCGTTGAGTTCACTTAACTGTGGTATCTCCGATAGAAATTGCAAATCTGCCTGGCCCGTTACTCTCTGGCGTTTACCAGAAAGAAAACGGAAACTTCAAGACCCGTAACTAAAACTCATTTCAGAATCCTCGTCGGTGATCATTCGCAAACCTGTCAACATTCACTCTCGTGCACTAGTCCGTAAAAATGCTGAGGCTCGCCGCAAGGGAAGAGACATGGGGAATGGCAAGAGGAAGGGTACTGCCAATGCTCGTATGCCAACTAAAATACTGTGGATTAGATGAATGAGGGTTCTACGTAGACTGCTCTGCGAGTACAGGGAAGCCAAGAAAATCGACAAGCACCTGTACCACGAGCTGTACATGAAGTGCAAGGGTAACGGCTTCAAGAACAAGCGTGTCCTCATGGAGTTCATTCACAAGAGGAAGGCAGAGAAGAGCAGATCCAAGATCCTCAGTGACCCAGCTGCAGCCCGCAGACAGAAGGTGAAGGAGGCACGTCGCCGACGCGAAGAGTGTATTGCCCAGAAGAGGGAGGAGTTGCTGAAGAACATTGAAGAGCCCAAGAAATGATCCACTTGCAGGCGAATGGTGACATTCAATATTATTTTTGTTTTGACTTAAACATTATGTGAAGAAAATAAAATACAATTTCTCTAACCAAAAAAAAACAAAAAAAAAAAAAAAAAAGGAACGGAGTTTGTGCACTGCGCTGAGACTCATCGGACTCAGGCTTGTGTCAGAAGAAGAACGGAGCATTTCTGGATTACTACTACCCTTGTGCTATGATGTTGATCTGTTGTCTAATCTTTTCCGATAAAACTGTGTTGGATGTTAACTGTCCTAGATGATTATATAACAAAAGGCCTTTCTCAGTGAGTTCAAGATGTCAGTAAAACGGTGGCTTGATGAGATAACTGGAGCAAGCAAATTAAACATGGAAGCTATCCGGTAGCAGGGACGCAGGGACCTAGAGAGTACCTCGAGTCACAAATCCTCAGAAATATGTTTAAGGGTGGGGAGTGTGTGGCGTCGAAGGGTTACGGGGCTGCTCTGCGCCAACTCTCCCCCGTCCACCCTAGAATAATTGTAAGGGACTTAAATGGCTCCAAAAGTCATGCATATACAGTTAAGTAAAGGTCTCTTTTCCACGCCTTTAGGCCAGACCAATATTTTTATAGACCAATCGGCACTTGGTGGGTGATGTGGTCAGCATCACACCGGCCGCCTTTACTTCCCAGGACTGCACCTGGTACTCACTTAAGGCTGGGTCAAAATGAGAGGGAGTCAAGGTCTTTTTTTTTAATGAAAAAAAGTGTGGCTCCGTCAGGACGCGAACCCACGAACTCCTGATCCGAAGGCGAGGACTAACCGCCAATGCCACGGCGACTCCCTGATGCATATAACGTCTATTTTTAATTACTTATGCATATCATGTCTTTTCAAATATATTATATTTTGTTTGTCATGAAGTATATTGTTATTATTGTTGTTATCATTATTTTTGTTTATTTATTATTATTTTTATTATTATTATTATTATTATTATTATTATTATTATTATTATTATTATTATTATTATTATTATTATCAAGTAAGTCGGTAAACTTAGGCCTTTGAGTTCCTCGCTCCCTTAAACATTGAAAGGGACTAAGCACCCACCCACAACCACAACTACACCCACACACCCATATCTACAAACCCACCCACATAGATAACCACACGCACCCACACCAATCTTTAATTTTTTGGGGGGGTATCGGTTCCATTATACTGTCTAGTGGTCCAATTACTCATTAAGATTTTATGGTCCTATTTACTTTTACTGACCCATCTACACACTTTTATTCATGCTTGTTCAGGCTGGACTACGTCAGAGGGGTGTCATAGTCTCCCCGGTGGTATCACTTGATATCTTGAACTGACGCTAACCCCCACAACACCCCTTCCGCCATTGCACAGTCTCAGCCTACGTCACACGAGAGCGGGCAGCGTACGACCGGTGGTTTCAGAACTGTTAACGTCTTTTGTGGTTGGCCGTATAGGAAATTCCTGTCTCGTCACAACAGCGAGTGAAAACGCAATGTCAGCGGCAGCTGGTTACACAGTAACGGTTAACACACAAAGCAGAAAGCTCTTCAAAGAAAACAGTATAACGTGACACCCCTCTGACGTAGACCTGCCGGAATAAGCATGAACGAAAGGTCAATCAGCGTGTAGATGGGCTGGGAAACATAAAAAGAATTTTTTTCTTTCTTTAATTGAGCTCAGTACAACGAATTTCCTATAATATCAAAACACGTAGTCGCAAAAATACCTTATATGTCTCTTTTATTGATTGAGAAAGAATCCTTGACTCACATTCAAATTTAGCTGCTTGCAAAATGCATGCTCTCGAAAGTTTTTAGCTTAATTTGTTTGCTAGTGTTCTATCACAAGCTATCGTGTAAGGCGATGGTGTTTCATCTCTGTATTTGTGTAACTAAAAAAACTTTTCAAAAACCCTTATATCAGTCTCAAAATAGGTTGCAGGTAAAGAGCCAAGGTATTCAAAGTCTGTGACATTTACTTCTACTTCAATTTGTTTTTTTAAATTATATTTTCTTATTGACTGGTAAACCTTATCTCAAAGTTTAGGTTTTCTCAAGGTCTGTAAACAGATTTTGTAATTCTTTGCAGAGATGTCGACTCAAAGAAAAATCTGGCCGGGGGAAGAGGGGAGGGGGGGGGAGTGTTAATGCTCAGCGTCCCCTGCTGTACAGATTTGTAGGCAAATGAAACAAGCGAACTCAGTGGTGAATCCTAGTTGAAGAGTGTTTTAAAAATAAAAATAATTGGCTGAAGGGCACATAGATATAATAGCATAATTACAATATTTTAAAATGTATGAAAATATACGTTTGAAGACAATTTCTATACATAGTTAAAGGTGGCCACTTAAAACCCTGGGAGTCGCCGTGGCCGAGCGGCTAGACCCTAGCCGCGGATCAGAAGGTCGTGGGTTCGCTCCCTGACAGAGCCGGACTTTTTTAAAAAATGACCTTGGCTCCCAGGTCGACCCAGCCTTGAGTGAGTATCGGGTCCCGGGAAGTAAAGGCGGCCGGCGCGATGCTGACCACATCACCCATCTTGTGTCGATTGGTCTATAAAAATATAGGTCTAGCCCTATATGCCCTATACGCCTAAAGGCGTGGAAAAAGGTCCTTTACTTTCTTTTTTTTTTTTACTCACTTAAAACCCTTACAATTTTTGTGCTGCTGAGGGGCAGAGGGTGTGGGGGGAAGAGGAGGGGGGGGGGGGGGGGGGGGGGGGGGAAGACTCAACAGACATGGGTTCTGTTGCCATTGTTTCACGGCATCTATTGAGCCCAGCTGTTCTGATAAATAATTTGCACTTTTGAAGAGGAGGATCGGATCGTCTGCTCGTCTAAGTGCTTGACTTTGACTAAAGTTAAACTTAAAATGGAGAGGATCGAATTCATTGCGAATTATCCTATATGGTTGGGTATCTCTCAGTAGATCGGCTAGCCTCCGACCGAGAGTGTTGCACTTAGCACTAACTCCGAAGCTCTGACGACTACCCATATAAATTGCACTCAAAAATCGAAAGATATTACTGTGAATCCTGGACAATTAAAAAACAAGTTAAAACCAAGTCAAACATTGTCTCGAGGCCTCGAAGATGTGGTTTTACAGATGGATCCTTAGAATTCCTTGGACAACCAAAAAAAAAAAAAAAAAGTAACCCAGGTGTTTTGAAAGAGGCGATGACTCAAAGACAACTTATCACAAACCTCATTATTATTATTGTTGTTGTTATTGCTTGAGAAGAAAGAAAACTGGAACACGTTGTGACCACTGGAAAGTTCTATTTATTTGACGGATCAACATCACGACACACGGGTGTAACCCATAAGTGCTCCGTTCTACATCCAACTCAAGTCTGAGTCTGAAGTTTCTCAGCGCAGTTCACGAATTCCGTTGCACCAGCGAGGATCCTGAAATACTCTGGATAGATTTTTAACTCTACATTTTTTACCTAGGCAGCGCATTAGGTTACTCATTTTGATTTCCAACTGTCAAGGGATTTTTTTGACGTGCGCAAGAATACACACGGGCGTGTGTCTTACTACCCAGAGACCAGGCAAAATTACTAGAAGTTCATATGAAAAAATTTCAACCTTCACCGGGGCTTGAACCCGGGACCTCTAGCACTCTAGGCGGACACCACACCTCGATACCACTCAGCGCCCACTGGAAAGTTCTATGGAAAGAGAGACAATGGAAGACAACGCGATAAGATTCTTGATAGCTTTTGTCTTGGCATGGAAGGGTGTCAGCACACTAACTGATAAACGGTGTTGAAGGTAGCAGAATGTGGAGAGCTATGGTAGCCCACGTCAGTCGGCGGTTAGTCGGGGTTAGGATTGGGGTTAGGGTTAGCGTTGGGGTTGGGGTTAGGATTGGGGTTAGGGTTAGCGTTGGGGTTAGGGTTAGCGTTGGGGTTAGGGTTAGCGTTGGGGTTAGGGTTAGCGTTGGGGTTAGGGTTAGCGTTGGGGTTAGGGTTAGCGTTGGGGTTAGGGATATGGTCAGGGTTGAGGTTAGGGTTTGGCTAAGGTTAGCGTTTCGGTTAAGGTTAGGGTTAAGATTACATTTGTGGTTAAGGTTAGGGTTAAGATTATATTTGTGGTTATGGTTAGGGTTAGGATTAAGTTTAAAAGCTATCTGAAATGTTTGACACGCTGATATCTGAAGATCTGAGTCTGGATGGCAGACAATCAGGACCTGAAAAGACTGAAAAAGTCTGTCAGGAGTGGCACCCGTAAGCAGAGGGCACGCATTCACGCAAGAAGGAATCCTCGACGGTTACCAATGTTCAATTCCTTCAGTGTGCATTTTAGATAATAGGCCGTTATCGTAGCTTTCAGTCAGTGGTACAGTTATCAGCTTCGTTGAGCTATTCACCTAACCCGCATGCCAGAATATCGACTCCCAAAGAGAGTATTTTCTGGCTTGCTCCATAAAAGGAAGAGGTCCGAGGGAGGACAGAAAAAGCGCTACAAGGACACTCTCAAGCCTGCTCTTGGGATCATCACAGCGACATGGGAGGCTGCTGCACAAGACCGTTCTGGATGGCGTTCATCCCTCAGGCATGATACATCGGCCTGCCAGGCAGTAGAGGTTTCACAGGCAGAGAAACGGAGGCAGACTAGAAAGAATCCAACTACTAATCCTACACTTACTAAGGCTTCCATCTGTTGTCCGTACTGCTCAAGAACTTTCCAGGCTCAAATTGAACTAATCAGCCATCTTCGTTCACATAATCTTTGATCATTACTACTCTGGATAAAAAGTGGTCTTCATCGCTAGTGATGGGAGAACAACAACAGTCAGTGGTACAGGAATCACACAGCGAAAAAGACAATTTGATATTCCTGTATTTAACAGTTGATATTTTTACTGACTTTACTGGTAAATCTTCTTCTATATTGGAGTGTAAAGCTTTGCTAGAAAGATGGCCAGACTTTTCTGTTAGCAGTTTTCTTTTTAGCTTTGTTGAATTCCAATCCTTTG